GCCAAAATGCTGAGCTACTGAGTGCTGTTACATGAACCGCTAATACTTTGCTGTTCCGTAAGTGTGCTGATGCTTCTTGATATCAGTCGCTGTGATGTTCGGGCTGGAGAAAGCTTTTGAAGCTCCCGAACGACTGACCAGGAAGGAGAGAACGTGTCAGCCGGGCATGTGTCTTTACCAAGGTCCTACTTGCGAGTAGGACAATCCTAACAATGGGGCCCCTTCTGTATCCTGGGATCCTTGGCCAGTGCCTGAGTTCAGACATGAAGTCATGGTTTGTAAACCTACTTCAAACTACAGGGTTTTTAAAAATTTGTCTTAGCTAGCTGATGGACGCGGGTGGCGCTGTGGGTAAATCCTCAGTGCCTAGGACTTGCCGATCGCATGGTCGGCGGTTCGAATCCCCGCGGCGGGGTGAGCTCCCGTCTTTCGGTCCCAGCTCCTGCCCACCTAGCAGTTCGAAAGCACCCCTAAGTGCAAGTAGATAAATAGGTACCGCTTTGTAGCGGGAAGGTAAATGGCGTTTCCGTGCGCTGCGCTGGTGCTGGCTTGCTGGCACCAAACCATCTCTCTAAAAACTAGGGTGGGTACCAGAAAAGAAGGGGTTGTCCTTGGAAAATCAGGAAGGTTGGTGCATCCCAGATGAGTTGCCATTTCCAGAAAGCTTTCAACTTCCCACTGAAATACCACTGCAAGTCCTGGATTCCCTCTGCCACAAAATGTAACTCCTTCCGTAAACTCCAACGACCGCTAATTTCCTTTCCACCATTCTCTCTCCTTACTGGACAAACACCTTTTTTGTATATTCTTGAGTAAGAGAGAGAGGTTTCAGCTTTTACAGAAGAACTGTCCCATAAATATACCTAGTGTATAATTACATATATTTTAGATTTCTTGCTTTATTTCAACAGCTGTCATTAAAGCGTGTAATTGCACTATTTAAAAAGAGAGGGGAAATTACAGCCCCATTTTATGCCCTTCATAAATGAAACGAGATCTGGAACACCCTCGTCCTTGCATCCTTTTAACATCAGTGACAGGGAGCCTTAGCCTGGGGGGCCCAAATGCAGCTCTTCCAGCCACCCCCCTCCTCTGACTCTCCCCCAAGCCACACCCTTCATAGGCCCTACTTTGCACCCTCCTTGAGTGGTTTTGCCTGGCTGGAATGTGCCCTTCAACACTGGCGATGCCTCTAGCTTGTCTGAATGGAGGATGGAGAAGGGCTTGTGAAATGTATTTCTTTGTATTTGTATTTGACCTATGAAAAACGAGGACCCTGGTGGCGCTGTGGTCTAAATCACAGAGCCTCTTGGGCTTGCCGATTGGAAAGTCGGCTGTTCGAATCCCTGCAACGGGGTGAGCTCCCGTTACTTTGTCCCAGCTCCTGCCAACTTAGCAGTTTGAAAGCATGCCAGTGCAAGTAGATAAATAGGTACCACTGCGGCGGGAATGTAAATGGCATTTCCTTGCATTCTGGTTTCTGTTACAGTGTCCTGTTGTGCCAGAAGCGGTTTAGTCCTGCTGGCCACATGACCCGGAAAGCTGCCTGTGAACAAACGCCGGCTCCCTCGGCCTGAAAGCGAGATGAGTGCCGCAACCCCATAGTCGCCTTTGAGTGAACTACCTGATAAATTTTTTAAAAAAATTATATATATATAAAAGAGAAAGGTGTGTCAGTGTGGTGCAGAAATTAGTCTACTGGATCTGGGCCATTGGTCTTGTTTTTATATAATAGTTTGTATTTGGTTTTACAAAGTTCAAGTTTACATTCAAAGTCATAAGTAATACAAAGGTAAATAAATAAAGATTCACCTGAATCTCTGGACTTTCCCCCACCCTTCCATGGATTCCATCTCTAGTCCTTTTCCGCTGCATATTTTAAGTCATTCCCATTCTTTTTTTAAGCATCCCATATATTCCTAGTTCTTGTTACACTACAAGTGTTATTCAAATCCTGCTAATTGTTTACAGTGGTTGATCTGGGCCATTAATCAACCTCCTTCCCCCTGTTCAGGTAGGTACGTTACTATTTATTGTTAATTTATTTGCATATTTAATGATTGCTTGTTGCATTTGTGTGTCTTTCCGCTTGCATTTTCCCTGTTGCCTCTTCAGCTTCCAACGCCTCCTTCTCCTCCCAGTTTTCTCTCTTTTCTCCCTCTGGCCACTCATCAAAATCCCACCAGCAATCCCCTGGCTCAGAGTGTCTTCCCCTGGGGGTTCCCTAGGGGCTTCCCTGGCTGGTATCTCCCACCACTCCTCTGCCTCCAGCCGGTCCAGGGCAGCTGACTGGAAACTTACTTAACACTTCATTGGATGCAAACCACAAGGCATAGTTCCCTTTGGGTTGTATTCACACAACTCATATTCTGAGTAGACACCACTGAAAGTAATGTACAATAACAACAACAACAACAATCTTTATTACGGTCCAGAGACCCAACAAATTGTTACAAGCAAGACACAATTCATACAGCCTACCTCCAGGTTAAACAAGCATTTTGTTCAGAATATAGGGATCATTGGTTCTTGTAACCACCGATAAAAACTTGGCCACTGCTAATGTTCTAGCATTTGTCCAGTCTTCCAATAGGAACCTGACATAGTGAGCCTCTCATTTTCCCGGGAAAGGTACCAGTAAGGGTAATATCAGTTCAGCCCTGGCTTGTTCATATTTTGCACAGTGCAACAAAATATGTTTTATGGAATCGATGTCTTGAGCACACGAGCAAAGTCTGTCCTGGTAGGGAACTCCTCTCAACCTGCCATCCAACACTGCAGAGGGGAAGACGTTTAGTCTGGCTTTGGTGAAAAGCCTTCGATAGTTTGGTACTGTCAGGTTTTTAATGTAAGATGTTAACTTAAAGACATGCCCATATTGTACTCCTACTGCCAGCGGACTACAGACTGCGTGTGATTGAGATCGCAAGTCACTGTGTGCATTATCCCATAATCTTTGCTTTAATATCTTTTGGGCGCCTTCATAACCCAGGTAATACAGTTGGGGGGGGGGTGACAGACCAATAGAGGTGGCTTTTTTAGCCATGGTTTTCTGCCATTTGCTGACAAATTCCTCATTGGTCAGGTGTTGGTACAAACCCTTCCCTATGGATAATAATAATAATAATAATAATAATTAATAATATAAATGTTTATTTATACCCCGCCCTTCCCGGTTCAAAAACCGGGCTCGGGTGGCTAACAACAAATTTAAAACACTTAATTGTAAAAGCAGCATAAAGTACAGTATAAAACATGAATAACAATAAAATTCAAAGTTCAGAAATCAATTTAGGGGAAACCCATCGAATAAGCATTAGATAGTCACCAGGGCTAGCTGGCTGAATTAGTCCTCCTTGGGCCAGCAAGGAGGCAAGGGGAGAATTAGCTGTGGGGTCTCAGAGCAGGTGATCTTCATAAAAGGGGAGGGGGAGGGAAGAGAAGGGAAATAAAAGATCAGGCTGAATTCAAATTAAAGGCCAGGAGGAATAGCTCTGTCTTACAGGTCCGATGGAAGGAGGTTAAATCCTGAAGGGCCCTAGTCTCATGGGACAGAGCATTCCACCAGGTCGGAGCCATCACTGAAAAGGCCCTGGCCCTGGTGGAGGATAGCCTAACTTCCTTAGGGCCCGGGACCTCTAAACTATCGTTATTCATGGACCTTAAGGTCCTCTGTGGGGCAGACCAGGAGAGGTGGTCCTGTAAACATGAGGGCCCTAGTTAGTTGTGTTCCCTGTTTTCATCTGCACGCATCGTCTTGGAGGAGAAAAGAGGAGAGGTAACTCTTCTAGAACAGTGCTCGCTGGCTGCCATTTTTGCAAGTAATTGTGCTAAAAACAATAAAGCTATCAAATATCTCTTCAAGTTAATCAATTTGATTCCCATTTGAGCCATTTAATCCGAGCGATCGATCAACTAAATGATCGTTCCCTCTAATACGGAACGCGGATGGTGTGTGCCGACAGGATTTGAGCAAAAATGGGGCCAAGGAGCATCAAGAAGGAGGTATCGGCACGCTCAGGGAAATTGTGTACAAAAGTTTAAAAAAATTAAAACCTGAAGGGTTAATGCCCCGCCCCCTCAAAAAAAACTCAGTGGGGACTGAGCATGCTCAGTGGTCACAGAATGTCAGGGGATAATGAAGACAGAAAATCAGGGAGAGGAGATGGAAGGGCCTGCTTGCGGAAGCTGAAATATAAGCAGCCCTAATAGGAAACAGGATATATGCTGCAACATTTTGTTACAGTTGTACAGTCCTAATTCCCTCCCCATGAAAGCTACCAATGAGGAGAAAATTAGGCAGGGATTCTTTCCTAATTTTTCTTAAAGGGAAACATAAAAGGGAAACACAGTTATACAGACACATGCTGCATAGACATTTAAGGCATATTCCCTGCCCATGAAAAATCCTTGAAACTGTAGTTTACCCTTCACAGTACTACAATTCCCAGCACCCTTGACAAACTACAGTTCCCATGATCCTTTGAGTGGGTTTTTTGAATGTGTGGTGGGCATGCAGAGGTGGTTATACATCAGCAGGTGGCCTTAGCTTGTGGTGATCTCTAATAATGTGCAGGAGCGAGAGCTAAACCGAGGATAATGGCATGGGCCCAGGCATAGCAGAAAAGGAATTTCACTAGGAAAGGTCCACAGTGCATTGCATATTAAGAGCTAAACGTTGTTGTGGCACGTACAGTCAGACCTCAGATTACAGACGCTTCGGGTTGTGCGATTTCGGGTTGCGCACCGCGCCGAACCCGGAAGTACCGGAATGGTTACTTACGGGTTTCAGCGCATGCGCAGAAGTGCTAAATCACGCTTTGCACATGCACAGAAGCACCAAATTGCAACCCACGCATGCACAGACGCGCGAGTCACAGGTTGCGAATGCTGCGGATTGCGAACATGCCTCCCGCACGGATCACGTTCGCAACCCGAGCGTTCACCGTACAGTGGTGCCCCGCAAGACGAACGCCTCGCAAGACGAAAAACTCGCTAGACGAAAGGTTTTTTCGTTTTCGAGTTGCTTCGCAAGACGAATGTCCCTATGGGCTTGCTTCGCAAGACGAAAACGTCTTGCAAGTTTGTTTCCTTTTTCGTAAAACCGTTAAAACCCAGGGTGCATTGCTGGAAGAGGTGCAGTTGCGACTTGACCTCGAGGAGCAACACATTGCACGCGGTGTGGTGGCCTTTCTGAGCTTTTTAAAGAGTTTGCTGGATTTTTGAAGCTTTTCCAAAACTTCTTCTGCAGCTGTTTGGTAAGTTAAACTTTTAAAACTTTTTTTGGGTTTTTTGGATTTTGGGTTGGGGTGTTTAGAATTCAAGGACTTGGTGTTGGGGAGAGGTTTGCAAGAATCTGGGAGCTTGTGTGGTTTTTTTCTGCATTTTTATGATTTTCTGTGACCATTGGGCCATGTTTATTTTTTTTTAAAAAAAATCTGGCTTTGAATTTTGAATTTCTGTGTGCTGGGTGGATGGGGGAACAGCTGGGGAGGTGTTTGCAAGAATCTGGGAGCTTGTGTGGTTTTTTTTGAATTTTTATGATTTTTTGTGACCATTGGGCCATGTTGTTTTTTTTTGAAAAAAATTTATGGGTTTTAAATTTATGTGTGCTGGGTGGATGGGTGGACAGCGTGGTAGGTGGTTGCAAGAATCTGGGATCTTTTGTGGTTTTTTTTGAAATTTTATGATTTTTTGTGACCATTGGGCCATGTTGTTGTTTTTTTAAAAAAATTTCTGGGTTTTAAATTTCTGTGTGCTGGGTGGATGGGGGAACAGCTGGGGAGGTGTTTGCAAGAATCTGGGAGCTTGTGTGGTTTTTTTTGAATTTTTATGGTTTTCTGTGACCATTGGGCCATGTTGGTTTTTTTTGAAAAAAATTTCTGGGTTTTAAATTTCTGTGTGCTGGGTGGATGGGGGAACAGCTGGGGAGGTGTTTGCAAGAATCTGGGAGCTTGTGTGCTTTTTTTTGAATTTTTATGGTTTTCTGTAACCATTGGGCCATGTTGTTTTTTTTTGAAAAATTTTCTGGGTTTTGAATTTCTGTGTGCTGGGTGGCTGGGGGAACAGTTGGGGAGGGGTTTGCAGGAATCTGGGAGCTTGTGTGCTTTTTTTTGAATTTTTATGGTTTTCTGTAACCATTGGGCCATGTTGTTTTTTTTTGAAAAATTTTCTGGGTTTTGAATTTCTGTGTGCTGGGTGGCTGGGGGAACAGTTGAGGAGGGGTTTGCAACAGTTGGGGAGGGGTTTGCAACAGTTGGGGAGGGGCTGGGGGAACAGTTGAGGTTTTTGAAGACTTTGGTGATTTTTAAAGCTTTCCCAAAACTTCTTTTGCAGCCATTTGAGGATTTTGAAGACTTTGGTGATTTGCAGCCATTTCGTAAGTTAAACTTTTAAAACTTTTTTGGGGGTTTTTGGATTTTGGGTTGGGTGTTTGGAATTCAAGGACTTGGTTGTGGGTTTGAATTGCTGATTTTTTTTTTCTTTTTCTGAGTTTACAAAGGTAACAGCTGTGCTGCCATGGGACCCAAGAAGACTGCTGCTGCTGCGGAGGCCGGCGAGAGGAAGAAGGAGAAGGTGACGCTGGAGATGAAGAAGGAGATCATCCGGAAGCACGACGGTGGAATGCGTGTGACGGACCTCGCCAGGGAGTACGGCAGGAACCCATCGACCATCGGGACCATCCTGAAGATGAGGGAGAAGATCCTTGCGACTGATGCAGCCAAGGGAGTCACCAGGATCGTGAAGAACCGCCCAGCTGTTCTGGAGGAGGTCGAGAAGTTGCTCCTCATCTGGATAGAAGAGAAGCAGCGTGCAGGGGACACAGTGACTGAGGCCGTGATTTGTGAGAAGGCCAAGGCCTTGCACGCAGACCTCATCCGGGAACAGCCAGGAACCTCGGCCGAGCCAGAAGTCTTCAAGGCAAGCAGAGGCTGGTTTGACCGGTTCAAGGCAAGATCCGGAATCCACAGCGTGGTCAGGCATGGAGAGGCTGCCAGTTCTGATGTTCCTGCGGCTGAAGACTTTGCCTTGGAGTTCCTGGAGGTTGTGAAGACGGAGGGCTACGCTCCACAGCAGGTCTTCAACTGCGACGAGACCGGGCTGTTTTGGAAGAGGATGCCCAAAAGGACTTTCATCACACAGGAGGAGGCCAAGTTGCCTGGCCACAAGCCCATGAAGGACCGTCTGACCCTGCTCTTCTGTGCCAACGCAAGCGGCGACCTGAAGATCAAGCCCCTGCTGGTGTACCACTCGGAGAACCCACGGGCCTTCAAGAAACACAAGGTCGACAAGGAGCGGCTGAGTGTCATGTGGCGATCCAACAGCAAGGCTTGGGTCACACGTGTGCTGTTTGTGGACTGGGTCAATCTTGCCTTTGGCCCTGCTGTCAAACAGTACCTGCTGGACAACGACCTGCCGCTGAAGGCTTTGCTTCTGATGGACAATGCTCCTGCTCATCCTAAAGGCCTTGAGGTGGACTTGTTGGAGGAGTTCAGCTTCATCAACATCATGTTCCTGCCGCCTAACACCACGCCACTGCTCCAGCCGATGGATCAGCAGGTCATCGCCAATTTCAAGAAACTCTACACCAAGGAGCTTTTCAGGCGATGCTTCGAGGTGACTGATTGCACCACCATCACCCTGCGGGAATTCTGGAAGGACCACTTCGACATCGTCACCTGCTTGAAGATGATCACCACGGCCTGGAAGGGGATCAGCCAGAGGAATTTGAATTGCGCTTGGCGCAGCCTGTGGCCGGACTGTGTGGCACCAAGTGACTCTGATGCACCAGAGTCGACAGTGGTGCAGGACATTGTTGCCTTGGGAGGACCATGGGCCTGGAGGTCACAGAGGAGGACGTTTGCGAGCTGGTGGAGGAGCACGACCACGAGCTGACCACCCAGGAGCTGGTTGAACTGCAGTCAGAGGTTGCGCAGGAGCAGGCCTCGCTGGAAGAGGAGGAAGCAACTGAGGAACGGCTGTCCTCCAAAGAACTGAGGGACATTTGCCAGAAGTGGAATGAGGTGCAGGCTTTTGCAGAGCGGCACCACCCTGACAAGCACGTGGCACATGACCAAGCGAACATTTTTGATACGACGGTCATGTCGCCTCTCAGGGAGCTGCTGAAAAGGCGGATGAAGCAGCAGACCATGGACAGGTTCCTCAGCAAGAAGCAAAGAGTGGAAGAGGAACCTTCTTCGAGTGGTCCCCCAGAGTCTTAGAAAATGTAATGTACCCTTTTTTGATTTTTAAATGTTTTTCCTGTCATGTTTAGAAACTTAATTTATTGTTCCTTCAATTTTGATATGCTCTTTAAAGTATGTGTGACTTTAAAGAGCAGTTAATAAACTCTTGTTGTACCAAATTTGGCTTTGATTGGACTTTTTTTGACCATAGGAACGCATTAATTGAATTTCAATGCATTCCTATGGGATTTCGTGCTTCGCAAGACGAAAAATTCGCTAGACGAAAAAACTCGCGGAACGAATTAATTTCGTCTTGCGAGGCACCACTGTATGTAGAACAAGCTATGTGATGTACATTTTAAAACTGACATCTATATTCAAGAAGGGTGGGCATGTTAAATAAATAGCAATTCCCAATTTATGCGGCGGTTACATTGCAAGGCACCGTGCATTCACGTGAAATTGCCTATATTTGAAACACCATCAGAGAAGCCTGCAAATACCCTCTAAACCCTTGAAAAACCCTTTGAAAAACGAGCAGCGCTTACCCAAAGCCAAACTCCGCCACAATCCGCTCCCTCTGAACTTTTCTCAAACTCCAACCCTCCAGAGGCCTCAATGGTCGGTGCAAGAGCTCTTGAATTGCATTTGGAAAGGCTTGTGGTGTCTGGTGCTGTTTTTGAACCTTTGTGTCCTTTTCGGGCTCTTTCGGCCGTTCTTAAATTGGTTCTGGGTTTGCATACCCTCCAACGTTTCTCAGATGAAAGTAGGAACGTCTCATTTCGTAATGATATTTTTACTATTTATACCCCACCCATCTGACCGGGTTGCCCTAAGCCACGCTGGGCAGCTTCCAACATATATAAAAACATAATAAGACATTAAGCATTTAAAAAATCTTCCCTATGCAGGATTGCCTTCAGACGGCTCGGTGGTCGGCTAACTTGATACCCTCCAACATTTCTCCAATGAAAAGAGGGACGTCCTAAGGAAAAGCGAGACGTTCCGGGATCAAATCAGAAACCGGGACAGCTTCTCTAAATCAGGGACGTCTCTGGAAAATAGGGACACTTGGAGGTTGTGGGTTAGGTGCAATGTGCACGGTTGCAGTTGGACGTGCGTAAATTGGTGGTTGCCTGTACACACAAACACACACACACAAGGTTAAACATCTGAGAATAATCTCAGCGTCTTCCAAGGGCAGCAGCAGCAGCAATTATCACCCCACAAGGAAAGTTATTGTTGAATTCTGAGGAAGAAGAGAGCCTCTGATGCAATAAAGGACCATAACAGATTTCATAGCAACATTGAAAACTGCTTTACTCTAGGTCAAATCATGGGTACACTGGCAGGCTGGGGCTTTCCAGAGTTTTCTGCAGCTCCTAGGGGCCGAGGTCCCTTTACCACCCTCCCATAAAATATTTGAGGGGGCTGGGCCACCCCCAAAGTTGACGGGCATTTTCATTCATATGGTGTGTGTGTGCTGTGTCTTGTGATCGATTATGCAGGGTGCTGGAGGAGCCTCTTGAGAGTCCCATGGACTGAAAGAAGATCAAACCTATCCATTCTGAAGGAAATTAGCCCTGAGTGCTCACTGGAAGGACAGATCCTGAAGCCGAGGCTCCAATACTTTGGCTGCCTCATGAGAAGAGAAGACTCCCTGGAAAAGACCCTGATGTTGGGAAAGTTGGAGGGCACAAGGAGAAGGGGACGACAGAGGATGAGTTGGTTGGATAGTGTTCTCGAAGCTACCAGCATGAGTTTGACCAAACTGCGGGAGGCAGTGGAAGACAGAAGTGCCTGGCGTGCTCTGGTCCAGGGGGTCACGAAGAGTCGGACACGACTAAATGACTAAACAACAACAACATGTGGGGTGAGGCTTACCTGACCCCCATCCCCGCCAATATTTTATTCAAGTTGGCACCCCAGTTCCCAGCCTTTCCTGGAGAGGCTAGGGACCTTCTGCACGCAAAGCAAATGTTCCGACCACTGAGCAATGTGACCTTCCCTTTTGACTAGCTCATGACAGACTAAGCATGCAACCCTGTGGGGAAATTTGTTGCTGGCTGAAACCCATGGTGATTTGGCCCTGATCCCTACGGGGGTGCATATCTCCAGACACACCACCACTGGAAACCAGGTAATAATATAAATACGATGTCACAGATGTGCCAGTGGACTGTTCTGCCTAGGTTGGACTGGCAGCGTGAAGTTTGTTTAAATGGATTCCTTTGGTTTTACCGCCATCTAGTGGTGTACTCCAGCATTGCTTAAATAAATAAATAAGTTATTAAACACCACTTCTTATGAAGGGTGTGAGATTGTAGTTGGGGACGGGGAGGTATGTATTTCGACCAACAATTAAATCAAAGGAATTTACATGCACACTTAAATCTCATAATCCAGCCGACAAAGGGACCTGATCTGGCCAAGCAGGCTGTTCCCCAAGGATCACTATTCATGGATCGCAAACTAGGACACATGAATTTATGCAATGCCTGAAAGATTCTAAGATTTATTTATTGCGGCCATTGGCCCATATCGAAAACAATACATCAGAATTTATCCATAAACAATACAATTTAAACAGTTCCAAGTTAAAACACCCTTATAAAACCGATTTTACTTTAGTTTAGTAAACACTATACACAATAAGCTCCCTCTATGTAAACCGCAATTCCGATCCATCAGATTTTGGGGGGTATACGTCTTAGTTCTGGCACTTATTGATGGTTCTTAAGTTTAGCTAAGCTGTCAGAAACATACAGTGATCCATTTCTCCTCTTTTGAAATAAAACATTAATCAGGTATCTAGCGACTGCAAGGGATCTACTTGTATCTTCGTCGTTTAATAAGTATATTATTTGGGCTTCCTGAGGACTGTCAGCAATTCTCGATAAATATGGGGCCAGAAACTTGGACCGTGAAGCCGAATGTAATGGACAACAGAAGATTATATGATATAACGATTCTATAGATCCGCTTTACAGTCACAGAGGAGTGAGATCTGTCCGTTGGAGAGTCTGTTACCCAACACGTTTGATGGGAAAGCATTGAATCTAGCCATTATAAAGGCATACCTGTGCGTCACCACAGATAAGGTAGTTAAGTAAGATGGAAGTTTCGTTGGTGGTGTTAAGCCAAGGTTTATCGGTGAACAGGTGCCACCACCTGTCGCAATATTAAATTGTAAATCCATCTCCTCTAATTTGTGAGTTATAATTCTTTTGGCCGAAATTAAATCCAATTTTAATAGTTCAGATGGAGATAGTCCTAGGGACACAAGTTTCCCATGTATTATTTTTGCCCAGGGGCTAGGGAAGTCATCTCTCCAGAGGCACTGTATCAAGTGGAGATTTGGAAGTTTATGCCATAAAGCCAACCAATAACAGAGGATGCATTTCCATAATGTGGTTTCTAGAGAGCAATGCCTGAAAACGAGTCCCTAAATATAGAATCAGTGGACAGAAAGGGCTGCTTAGTACATGATCTTGCAGCATCCCTGGCAGATGGTCACCTAGGCCCCATTGGTGATATGTGATATACCGTAATTTTCCGTGTATAAGACTAGGTTTATCCTCCCCCCCCAAAAATGTAAAAAAATAGGTCTTGTCTTATACATGGGTGCTTGCAGCTGGCGGGCAGACGATTGGGGGCTTTGGCAGTCACGTCGGTCTGGCGGGTAATTTTTGATTTGCAATCCCTCCCTCCAAAAAGCTCAACAACTCTGGGAAATTTCCCCCCATTTTCTTTAATTTGAGTCCCCTCACAGAAAAATATGGTAAATGTAAAGCAGTATTACACTGGTACCTCAGGTTACATATGCTTCAGGTTACGTATGCTTCAGGTTACAGACCACACTAACCCAGAAATAGTACCTCGGGTTAAGAACTTTGCTTCAGGATGAGAACAGAAATTGCGCGGCAGCGGCCTGGCGGCAGCGGGAAACACCATTAGCTAAAGTGGTGCTTCAGGTTAAGAACAGTTTCAGGTTAAGAATGGACCTCCGGAATGAATTAAGTTCTTAACCCGAGGTACCACTGTATTATACTGTTTTTTAAAGCCTTGGGTTCCCCTCAAAGAATCCTGGGAACTGTAGTTTGTTAAGGGTGCTGAGAATTGTTAGGAAACCCCTCCCTGCCATTCTGCTAGCAGCATTCCTTAGAAAGATGGGTTGTTACTCTGGGAACCGTAGCCTCATAATGGGACTTAGGTAGGGTTGCCATACGTCCAGAATCTCCCAGACATACCTGGAATACTGCAGTCGGAAGCAGTGTCTGGGAGGAAATGGCAAAATGTCAGGGGAAATCCAGATTTATGGCAACCCACGTTGTTGATTATTCTTTAAAAATAACTCAAAAACGTACTTTGGGGGGAGGGCGATTTTGGCCAAAACCAAAAAAAAGCTCAACTTTGGCAAAAAAAAAAAAAGAAAGCTCAACTTTTGTGTCCGAATTTTCACTTTTTGAAATATGCCAGCCCTAAATTAGGGCTCTCCTAACAACTAGATACCTAACAGCTAAATATGACTTTGATTCAAACAGCAGCAGCCCATTCTACTCAATCTAATATACATAACCTAGATTACACAAAAGTGAAATATGTCACATCAGAAAGGCGTATCTCTGGTTGTCCCCCAAGTCTGAGAAGCTCATTTGACCTCAGAACGAAACCAAGCCTTCAGTACCGTCAGCCTAGTCCCATGGGCAGCTTCCAACAAAATATTAAAATACAATAGTCTGTTAAACATTAAAAGCTTCCCTAAACAGGGCTGCCTTCAGATTCAGCACGTTTTCTGAATTTTTTTTAATGTTGCTAGGCTTATACGATTAATACAATATTTTCTGCAATACAGTGGTACCTTGGTTCTCAAACACCGAAAACCCTGGAAGTAAGTGTTCAGGTTTTCGAACGTTTTGCAGAAGCTGGACGTCCGATGCAGCTGTCAGCTCTTGTTTCCAGGGCATCTGCACCAATCAGAAGCTGTGCCTTGGTTTTCCAACATTTCGGAAGACAAACGGACTTCCAGAATGGATTAAGTTTGGCGCTTTTGTTTTTGCTATCTATTTTGCGTTTTTATTTTTGAGGCTTTTTCAGTGAATT